TAAAGCTTGGGGCATGTGAATGCCAAGCTTCCCTATTTTACAGCACTGATAAAGGCATTTCCCTGGTGTTTATATTGCACTGGTAATTTCTACAGGTATTCTAAGAGGAACAAAGCTAGACCTTGTGGCAAAAGTTGTCATCGAGCCAGGAAGCCCTTTTCCTGTTCCCTGAAGCCTTAGAAGCCAGCATCTAATTAAATAGAGATCAGAGCTCACCTGATAACACACTCCTTGGATCTTATTATGCAACCCAGGAACCTGCTCATTAAATCTAAACTGCACATATAACTCCATGTACTAGAAATGTTTAGTCCTGACCCAGGGCCTGATTTCCGCTGGAACGGGGGCATCTCCATATTTTGAGAAAAGGGAAGAGAAGTTTGAAGTTCCTGTGGTCCTGGAATGGCTGCTGTTTGTAAATTAGGGAAGATCTAAGGCTGGCCTCTACCTAAGGAATAGCTTCCTCCTCCGCCAGCCCTGTGAAGTTAAGGCCAAGTCTGCCGTAGCTAAGGTAACGGTTCAGGCTTCAGCAGAGCATAGACTAGGAGATCAGCCAACATCTGTCCCCTGCTAGGCTCTGCTGAGACTTCCTGACAGCTCCATCGAGGATGTGTATTCAATGTCCTGTTCTACAGGCAAGGAAATAGGCTCAGAACAATCCAGTGGGCACTCGTGGCCAGGGTGCAGCAGGGAAGCATCAGAATCTGTATTTGATCTCCTTTAATGCTCAGAGGAGACCGATGAGGCACTTATGGTTATTTCCATTTTAAGATGAGACAACTGACACCCAGAGAGCACCAGGCTCCCTGTGACCCACCCTTGGCTGCAAAGGAGCCAGGACTCGGTCCTCGTCCAGGCAGGGTCCAGGTCTTCCAGCAACCCAAGAGGGAGGTGTGACCTGATATGAGTTTGAAGCTGTAGGGGAAGCTAAGCCGTGACCCAGGATTGGGGAAAGGGCGGGGGGGCTTGAGAGGAAATTCTGCGCCAGGAAACAGGTACTGGATGACACAGAAAGAGGCTTCCACACAAAGGCTCAGAAGGGGTGGGCACACAGAGCAGCCTTCTGAAACCCGAAGCTCTTTCCAAGGCCAGGGGAGGGCTTCTTCCAAGGAAAATGCTTCCCGTGTGAGGGGCTGGCAGAGAGTGGGTGGCCTCATGGGAGTGGGCCTCAGAATCACCTGAGGGGCTTGGGAAAGTCTGGTTCCTGGGCTCAGCAACCACCCCCGCCCCAGTCTCTGACTCAGAAGGGCCTGAGAATTTGCATTTCTAACAAGATCCCTTTTGACCTCCCTGTGTTTGGTGCAGGACCACTGACATGATGTGACAGCTTGCACAGAGCTTTCTAGAGAAGACAGCATAGCATGGCTTTTCTCCTTTTCCTCTTCATTCTGCCTTTTCTGTAGACTGATTTATTGATTGATTGATTGATTGCTTTCTGTTTTCCAATTGAGGCATAATGCACCCCCAGATAAATGCACTAATCTTAAAGACACACACTTGACAGAGTGCGCGTGGATATACACCTATGGATCCACCACCCAATGAAGATGCAGAGTAATTTGCATGAGATCTCCCGTATGCATCCCATAGTCATCTCCCACCCCCAACAGATTACCCCTGTTCTGACTTCTGCCACCATTAGTAGGGTCCTTCCTCTTGACCTTCATAAGATGGAGTCTCACAGTCTCTTCTGTTAGCACTATAGAGCCCTCTGGATAGTTGACCAGTTTATTTTTTATTTCTCGCTTTCTCCAAAATTGCAGTCCAGAAAGCATAGATTATTCTGTCTAGTGATGCTGCCCTGAGCCTCTTCCTTTGGGTAAGGTGCATTGCCCGTAGGATCCTTTTACTTATCTGTTTCCATTTTCAAAATCACCCTGTAGGCAGATGTTTGCATTCCTCCATTCAACAAATGAGTAAACTGACGTTCAGAGAGGTTAAGACATTTGCCCCAAATTCTTCAGTGTGCAAGAAGCAACCTCAGGCAATTGAGTCCAGAGCCTTCCCTTGACTACGGGGCCTTCCTCCTTCCCAAAGAAGCCATGTGACCCTGTAGATGTGTTGTCAATGTTTGTTGACTGAATGAAGTGAACACTTTCAAAGCAGCTGTCTTGCTGGTCTTAGGATCTGCTACATTAAAGGCACCCAGGTTTACTTCCTATGGACTTATGGGATGAGCAATAGATTCATGTCCTCAGTGAGCTGGCCTCTGTTTGACTCACACCTGCTCTGGCCAGCCCAGGAGCCTGAGTGCTGAGGCGTGGAGGTTGGCTTGGTGGTAAATGTCCCCAGGCACCATCAGAGGTTTCAGTCAACCCCACTGCCTCTCAGAATCATCCTGGGGTCTGACTTGGTCTCCAGTGTGATCTCTAGGTGGTATTTAACCAGCCAAAAGCACTGCCTGCTCCAGTTAGGCCTCAGAAGGGACCCAGAAGACAGTTGAGCAGCAGGCATTGATGCTAGCCAAAAAAGATTAAAAAAAGGATGTCAAAAAGGATAATTCTTTTCTCCCTTAGTCCTTCAAAATGGAAAAAAAGAGAGAGAGAAAGGCAAAGCAGGGGAAATGGGCCTAATTATAAATGAAGAGTGGCGTGAAGTTAATGATGACTCATTTTTTAAATTGGTGTTTGACAAGAACAAGAAAGAACTGAAATCAGGACAATTAGGCAGTAATGAAGAGCTTTAAAAACAGAGAGAAAAGCAGGTAAGAGAATGATCCTGGAAGGCCGTGACTGGAAATGACTGTGTTTGGGGCCAGACTGGGGGTGGGTTCCCAGAATGGATCTGTGAAAACAAGGCTAGAGAGTTGGTAAGAGAAGCCTCGGGAAATTCAATCAGATCATGAATCTCAATCTGCCCACTTCTTGTAATGTCCAGCTCCAACGTGCTCATCCAAACCACTGTCTTCTCGCCCCTGGAGCCCTGAAATGACCCCCTAGTTGTTGCCCCTTTTTTTCCCCCCTCTCCCCCAATGCCTTTGTCTCATGAGTCAGAGAAAACTAGAAACAAGAGGAACTGTCATTCCCTTGTTCTAGAACCTTCTGTAGCTGCTTAGTACATATCAGTTGTCTCACCTTGATCTCCAAGTTCTAGTCTAAGTGATGAGTTAAAGCCCACCTGTCCAGCCTCATCTCAAGCCACATGGTCCCTTACCCTGCATATGTCAGGATTCTGGCATCCTCAGACATATCAAGTTTGTTCAAACCACAGGGCCTTTGCACATGCTCTTTCCTCTGCCTGGAAAACCCCATCTTCACAGGAGGGGCAGGGGGAGTCATTCTTGATCTTCAAGTTTAAGTTTCAAGTCAAAGTAAATGTTCCAGGACACCTAGTTGAAGTAATTTCCTCAGATTATTGTCATTGTACCCTATAGCATTCCTTCACAGCCATAATTATAGCTTTTGTATATTTGCTTTCTTTTATGCTGCCTAGTTGTTCCGCTGGACTATGAAGGCATACGCCATGGATGTTTTATTTACCAAAGCATTGCCTAGCACCTAACACAATGAATTTCACATATTAGAGTAAATGGGGGAAAGGCCATATAATGCATTGGTTCTAGTCTAACTTCAGGCTCAGGTGGATCCAGGTACCTGGATCAATGTCATCAGGAATCATTCTCTGTTCACTTTTCAAATATGCTTTCCTCTGTGCTATCTTCATTCTCAGGCAGACTCTCCTCAGAGAAGCTTTTCTTCTACCAGTTTAGCAACTCCAGTAGAAAAAGAGGCCTCTACTCTAATCAATTCAGCCAGAGTCAAGGCACAAGAGTTACCGGTGCACACATGCAAGATATTTGCTACATATGATCAAACAGATAACATTGTGCACCCAAGTGAAAAATGCCCAGCTAGAGATAGATGCTGAAAAGTAACAGGAATTGTCCTGAGGCCGCTTGTCATATTGAAGAGCAGACTCTGAGGTCAGACCTCATCCAGCACCACAACTTGGGTACTGTGTGACACCTGGCAAGTCACGTATTCTAAGCTTTAGTTTCCTCATGATCTCTATTACAGCAATAGCATCACTCCTAAATATATATGATATTTTGTAATTTTTTTAAAAGATTTATTTATTTATACAAGCACTGGGGTACAGACCAGAGGCACGGGAATTCACCAGAGTCAGAGTGGGGAGCAGAACAGGCAGAAGGACCGAAATACACTGCTGAGGGGAGCAGTGAGCCAGAGAGGAGAGGCCTGTCGCCCCATGTGGGAATCTCCCCGGCCGGGCAGGAATAGAACTGCCACCACTGAGGCTGCAGAGAGCTTCACAGCGCTGCACTACCTATATATGATTTTTTAAGGTTAAATGAGCTTAGATGCACACTTAGTGAGCCCTCAGGAAGTTCTACTTCCCTTCTTTCCTCCCTCCCCCTATAGCTATTATCCTGAGGGAGAAGTCAGAGGGGGCCAGAGCAGACCCTGAAACAACTGGACAAGGACAGTACAGAGGGGCTGACTTGGAAATGAACTAAGACCAGCTGCAAAGGAATGGGAAGTTTAACATGGTGCACCCCAAAACTTCCAGAATCAGAGATACAAATCTGGCCGGCACACAGCCTGCCGGAAAGGCTGTTGGGAGCGGTTGGTTCTGAGGGTGCATTTCGGAGCCGGACGGCGTGGGTTTAAAGCTCAGCCGCGGCGCTTGACTGTGCTGGCTTGTGACGTCATCGCTCCTGGCCGTGTGACGTCATCTCACGGCGTCTCCGCGTCCTCATCTGTAGAATGGGCGCGAAAAGAGCCATGTTAGTTCAGTCACCTCATGGGAAGTACCGGCGCCGTTCTAGCGCGGGGTAAGTGCTGGTACAACGGACGTCATTATCTCTGCCCTGCTCGGCAGCACTCGGTCCTCTGGGCCCGGAAGTCCGCCATGACGCCCCTTTCTTTCCTGTCGCGTCACCACAGGACACGGGAGGGTGTGGCTGAAATGGCCACAGAGGAGCGTGCCTCCTGTCGCGTGCAGGGGATGTGCCCTTCCTGTGGTCTGAGGTAGGAGGCTGTCCAAGGCCGCTGGTGGCCACGCCATGTGAAAGCTTCTGAGTCCCATCCGGGCAGATGGCGTCCCCCCCGGTCCTTCATTAATTATCGTACAGCAGAACCTGGCCACTTCCCACTCTAATGCCCCATCTTCGGCCAAGAAACCTATCAATTTGCTATTTGGAAACAATTAGCCCGGTTCACGGCCTCTGCAGCATCAATTAATGTGGACGTGAACATAAATTACAGGGAAGCAGGGATCGGCCCTGGGGGATGAGGTCACAACAACCATAAACCTCTGGCTCAGATGAGATTCCCCAGAAAGAGGCAGACAGCAGGGTCCTTCACTCTTCAATCACCAGGTGGGGGTCACTTCATCAGCGGCCTCCAGGGACCCACCTGGAACCTGAGGCCAAGGCCTCTGAGCCAAGAGAGTGTAAAATGAACCCTGGTTGTCCTGAATGCAGACAGGTCGCCCTGGCCACCCCCCACCCCCCCCACCCTCCCCCCACCCTCCCCCCACCCCCCGCCTCCACACAGGTCTGGCCAGCTCTCTCCTCCAAGAAGGAGATGCCAAAATGCACTGACCTCTGGTTCTGTTGGATCTGGTTAACCCTTGGGGCAAAACAACACTGACACCCTTTACAGACTTTGGCACAGGCCAAGGGTGCTAGCTGGAGGGTGCTAAGGGCTGCTTAGGGGCCCATTTCTTAGAAGGTCCTCCCTAAGCCTACAGGGACTCAGATGCTTAGAGGCCAGGCTGACTTGGGTTTCAGTCCCAGCATGGACAAGCCTTGTGACCATGCGCAATTCTCTTTTATTTTTTGTAGATTTTTATTTATTTACGCAAGAACCAGGGTACAGGCCAGATTCGCAGGAGGGTGAGAGGATTCACTAGAGACAGAGCGGGGAATAGAACAGGCAGACTGACTGAAATACACTGCTGAGGGGAGCAGTGGGCGAGACAGGAAAGATCTGCTGCACCATGTGCGCCCCTTGCCAGTGGGCCGGGATGGAACTGGCACTGCAGAGGCTGATGGACAGCTTCACAGCACTGCGCTCAACCGCCTGCGCCACCAGGGGAGGCCCCATGCACTATTCTCTTAACCTGGCATGCCTTGGTTTTCACATCTGTAAGATGGGGATTTCAGAAAAAAATGTGCTGAACACAGTAGCTGGTACATAGACAGTGCTATGTCAGTGGGAGGGCTGTTGGCAGTGGGCAGAGTCACAGTGAACTCTATCTTAGGAAAACACAGCTAAAATTCTTAGAGGCTGCAGAGCTTATAGATCACTAACACCACAGTCTCCATCCAGCCTCCTAAAGGCCAGGAAATAGAAGCTGACTTTAGTCATCTCACGGCCCCTCTGGGGGAGGCTCTGCTTCTCAGCTCACTTACTGTCTTCTGGCAGGCTTTGGGCCTTACTCCATGGCCCAGAAAGTAAGCTCCTGCCACGTGGGCCTCTCTCTAGGGCAGCTCACAGCCTGGTCCCTGGCTTTCCCAGAGTGAGGGCTCTGAGCAACTGCCAGGCACTGGCTAAACACTTCACAAGCATCTTCCTATTTAATCCTCACTAAGCAAGGACAAGAGAAGAAGACAGAAGCCTCAGTCCTTTTGTAACCTAATATCAGAAGGGGCATCCCTGCCTTAGAAGCATGTCACTGGCTTAGAAGCAAGTTACTGAGTGCCAGGCACTGGGTTGAATGTTTTGCTGGCATCATCCTATTTAATCCCTCTGGACCCACCACTTGGCAAGGAATGGGCAGAACAAATGATTATCCAGTAGAAATGGAAGCAAATACCCTTCTTTAAAAATGAGAGTACAAGTACGAAGGGGAAAAGGCTAGTAAAAGGCAAAAACACAAATGAAAATCTGCCCCATTCTGGTTACTATTCCTGTCTTACAGGTGAGGACTTGAGCTCAGAAGTTAGCTAACTTGCCCCAAATCAGAGGAGCTGCTGGAATCTAAACCATGTTTTCATCGTTGGCGTCTCACTCTGCAAAGGTCAGGCCCCTCTCCTTTGGGATCCAGTCACAGACTGTCAAGTTTGGCTGCCCCAAACTTGGGAAGTTGAATATTTGATTAATAGGGTCAGGGAGTCAGCCTCCTGGCCAGTTCAGGGGTGACTTGCATAGGAGCAGGAATTGGGTAATGCCCTTTCCCTGCCCAGGGCAGACCAGTACAACTGAACTCCTTAGCCCATTTTGTCTGGTCTCATTGCAGACTTGGAAGCTACTAGAGAATTACTGTCATTCCGCACTGTCTGCTCAGGTTAAAATCAAGAGGACAGAGCTGATCCCAGGGGGAGGAAGCTGCCTTGAACCCCTAAAGGTAGCAATGTCCAGAAGTATAACCCAGGAGGCAAAGGGTACAAGCCTCCCCCCAACCCCTGTCCTAACAAGCCCAAACCAGGAAAGCCTTCCAGATGTGGAAAGAAGGGAAGGAGACTGACCCCCCATGGAAGCCTGGTTCCCCATCCTACCTCTGCCATGAGCTGATGTGGGACCCTGAGCAAGCTACAAACCCTTTTAAGCTCCAGTCTCTAGAAGTGTAGAGTGAAGCAGTAAGGCTCTAACTTGGCAGAGCCACTGTAAGGATAAAAAACATAGTCTGCGAAGCACCCAGACTAGATGCCGAGTGGGCAGTGGCTCTTTCAGCTTGTGGACTGTGCCAGCAGAGATGTGGCCACCGCGCTTGCCTTCCTCGTGCCTGGCACAGATGGGGCCTTAGTTGCGTTTGGTTAATCAAGTAGAGATCCAGGTGGAATGCAGCCTCTGAACCAGGTGAAGGCTCAGAAATGCAAGTTCCAATGTTTGAACCATTGTCAGATGGGGAGTGGTGTAAAGTGTGGCGTGGTCCTGTTGCAGAGAAAGCTTTGACCTAATGAGCTAACATGGTGACTTCTTGCCTGGTGACTGAAGTGCGTCTCAACCACCTTAAAGAGCAGAGTCCCCCCAACACCTGCAAGGGAGCCTGTTTAGCAGCAGTTCTGTCTCTGAAGGGGTTCCCTGAGATCTCACAGGGACACAAATTAGTCTGGGGTGTCTGCACCCTTCTGCACAATATGTAAAAACTCGGCTTACTGGAAAACCCCGAAATAATTAACTTGCTCTGTGACCTTAGGAGAAAGACTTACTCTCTCTAACCTTCAGACAATAGGATTCATTTTGGGGCGCCTGCAGGACCGCCCTAAGGACTTGCAGGAACACTGCTGCAGTGCCTGGCGCCTGATACAGAGCCTCAGTTACCAATGGTTCCTGTTGTTACTAAGAGATGTGCTTCTTTAAAATGATTCTGCAGCTCTTAACAGCCCCCTGTGGCCCCGTGGAATGAGCTGGTTGCAGATCAAGGAGGAGCAGAGCATTTTCTGGCAGCTCACATGGGAGTGCGGGGGCCAGGTCTTTCTGCAGACTTAGGGTGGCCAGCCCAGGTGAGGGATACCCTGGCGCTTCCTGCTTCTGGATGCATTTTGCCTCCACTCAGAGCAGCCTTGAGATTTTCCCTTTGACTTGGCAGAGGGACAGAGCACAGGGTGTAACTCAGTATGGCCAGTATCCTAGGTGAGGAAGAGCAGGCAGATGACAGGGAGATGGATGGTTTCAGTGCCCAGCGCTCCTGGCGCTTGAAGGACAGACATTGTGTGTGTGAACATGTATTTGTGCACGCTCGCTCACTCATCTGCACATGTCTATGGTGTGTGAGGCTTATCTTCAGCAGTCAGAGCTTCCAAGATCAGCAGCGGTTCGAACCCACAGGGTTGCAGGAAGAGCCTTGTCATCCTCTTGGAGGGCTGCCCGCTGACTTGGGGGGCTGCTGGCTGCAGATGGTCAAATATTAAATTCTGTTGGGCCTCCCATCTGGTGGCTGCTCTGGCCAGCCGGAAGAATTCCCCATGGGGCAGCTCTGCGCTCTGGTCAGACTACTCTGCCCCAAACCTACCCTCTGGTGACCCCCAGACAGGACTGTGTTCAGCTAACCAGGGGGGTCCTCCCCCTACATCCAAGCGCCCGCTCATCCCCCTCCAAGGCAGCTTCCTCTACTCTTCCTTCTATATCTGTTCCCCCAGAGCGGGAGCTAAAGCAGCACTGGGTTTGGCATCACATCACTCAGGGGTCACGGCCTCGTTCCACTGGGCATTTGCCTGGGCTCTCTGGGCCTCTGTTTCCTCCTTCACCATCCCTCCATCATGGGGAGGATGAAGCAGGAGACAACACAGGCAGAGCCAGGTCTCTCAGCCTTGGCACGTGGGTCTGGATAATTCTTTGCAGTGAGGGGCTGCCCAGGCTCCCTAGGATGTTTAGCACCATCCTTGACCTTGACCCTCTGGATGCCAGGAGCATCCCACCCAGAGTGACAACCAACAATGTCTCCAGGCGTGGGGGATGCTTTGTGCTGTGCTTGGCATGTGGTGGACACGTGTAGACATCAACCAACTCCATTTTCTAAGTTAACAGAGGTGACACAGCTGCAGGGTGCAAGGAACGTGGCCAGGCACACAGCAAGTGCATAATAAATATTAGGTGTTACTGTTATCTCATCAGAGGGCCTGTCAAGTCCTTTGCAAGGAGGTTTTGAAGCCTGTGGTTCTACTTTCATACATCAAACATGTATGGAAAGCTATAGGCCAGCCTGGGATGGATATACATGTGGGCCAGTTCTTAACTCGGTAGGAGAAAGGGTCAGGGGAGCAGGGCACAGCAGAAATAGTAGGGGCGTCCATATCATCACCATCACTACTGGTTTCCTATTGCGTTATCTTTGTTATGGTCATTAACACTTACTGGCCACTTGAAATGTTCAGCTCTATTAGCTCATGTCATTATCTCAATAGCCCTAAGAGGTCAAACTTCTGATTATTTCTGTTTTGTGAGCAAGGAGACAGAAGTTCTTCAGTCCTAGCCGTGGGCATCAGCAGTGTGATGGAGCCTCTCTATGGGGCTCCTGAGCACTGTGCAGGGCAGGTGGGTGCAGGTCAGGAAAGCGTGGCTGACAATGGGGCTGGAACCATTGGTAGAAGGGAGGGGAGGGAGGGAGGGCCAGGCAGTGGCTGCCTTCTGCTTGGCATGGTGGAGAGCTTATTGCTCTGCTCCAGGCCAGCAGTGCCAGGTGGGTGGGCAGCAACTCCTGCCTCCAAGAGCCACATCTGTTCCCTTCTCAAGATTGTCATTCCTGGAAGTGTCATGCCCCCGCTCAGGGGACATCACTGTGCTGGCATACCAGTGGCCCTGGTTTGCCCAAGATCCAGGGGATTCTTGGGACATGGAACTCTCCATGCTCAAGCCAAGCCAGTCCCTGACAAACCAGCACAGCTGGTCACCCTGCCCCGGTCCCTCAGTCTGCTGACCGTTTATCCAGGACTTCTGCAGGTTATCAGTCCCAGGGGTTCACACCTATCCCACCCAGCGAGCCTTCTAATTCTCCCCTAAAAGAGCAGGTGCCAGGTGTCCAACAGCTGTTTCCCAAAGGTGGGAGAATCCAAGAACAACTTGGGAAACCCAGAGAGGGGAAGGGGTTTGTTTAGAGTCACCCAGAGTCTGTGCAACTCTGGGGCTGGAGACCAGATCTAGAGATGCAGAATAAAGTCAATTTCACTTTAAAGCAGAGTAACAGTATTAACAGGCCTATCGAGCTCTTTACACCGCAGCCCCTCCCTGAGCACTTGGCTGCCATTGTGGCCCTGAATGCCCATCCTGACCCCAAAAGTTAGTACTTTTCTCATCAAGGCCATTTTACAGAAGGGAAAACAGGTACGGATAGGTTCGATGATGTGGCCAAGGGCACCTGGAGAATGGTAGAGGCAAGATTCAACACCGCAGACAGAGGGAGTAACGGCGGCGCTGCACAGCCTCACGGGCACAGCTTCTTCTCCGCTCCTGGCGGCTGTGAGCAAGGCTGAGTTTGGGGCCCTTGCCAAGTGATACCATGTGAACACACACGCATGCACCTGTCTGGGTTTTCTGTCCCAAGGGACACTCCCCCAACCCCACAAGTGCCTCACACTTCTAGTGTGCTCTCTGCCTGAGGACCCCCAGAAGAGGGCATTGATTGCCTTGGACGATGACTTGCTAATGGTGGTATTTCCAGCCCTGTGGTGGGCTAGAGATGCCGAGGACAAGGGCCCCTCCCAGGGCCCTTCGCTCTCTGTGTGTGTAGAACTGTTATCTCTGTGATCCATAGGGCCCTGTGGGTTTGAGGCAGGAGATTGCAAGTAGAGGCAGTAAGAAATGATATTTACTCAGCCCTTATTGCCACTCTGTTAGGCTTTAGGGAGCCAGCCAGCCAGCCAGTCAGCAGCATGACACAGAGGCAGACAGACAAGCATCCAGGGAGCCATGGGCAGTGTCCTCTATGCCACGGGACTTGGGATGTGGGGGGAAGGGGTTGGTACAGGACCCAGTCTCAGGAGGTGGGAGAGGCCTCCAGGGGGAGGAAAAGTCTCAGCTGAGATCTGAGATAAGCAGCCAGGTAAAGAGGAGCATGCTGGAAGATAGTACGGGCACAGAGAACTTTGTGCAAAGGCCCGGGGTGGAAGACAATGTTCTGTGCTGGCAAATGCAAGTCACTCTGAGGGAGCCTGTAGCTCATTCTGTCTTGGCCATTGATGGGCTTGAAGTAAGGGGGTGACAGGAGAATATTTGTGTTTCGGAATATGGCTCTCACTGCTGTATGGAGAATGGCTTAGATGGGACTATGTCTTTTTGAACCTCCAATTATCTTCAATATTTATTACACTCATGGTTAATTGGAAAATATTGCCCACTGGTTTGGAAGACGTGTATATTAATATGATTCTCAAGCTGTAAATTTAAACCTAAATAGCTGGTCATTATTAATAGTTTTGAGACTTAGAACACACATAGCCTTTCATATTTCTGTCATTGTGTGTTAGAAAATAATGTTACATTTCTACTAATAATGTAAGGGATTCATTTTCACACAACTTTCTGTAAAGTGACCGTACTCCTCTTTGAAATCTTTTGAAACATGCTAAATATCCTTTCCTA